TCCAGGGGCAACCTGGCTTTTCTGTCTCAGGAGGGGCTCCTGGCTGCTCCCCTAGAATGCCCCCTCGCTGTCTGCATCAGAGGCACTGTGGGTTTGGATCGCCCCCTTCCTTCTGCATTTTTAGCATTCTCCGCTCTGGAGATCCCAGGCTGGGTCTAACCTGGGATCCCTGATATTGATGCAAGGAATGCCGCCTCCAACCTCACACCTGGCTCCTGGGAGTTTAGCACTGTCTTCCTGCCACCCGGGGGGCGGGGTGTCATGTCAACCCTCGAAGAAGCCCCCACTAGCTCCCCTCAAAAAGGGCTAAAAAGAAAACTTGGAGAAAGTCCCCAGCCCCCACCAGACCTTCTCCCCCGCCCTGCCCCTCCCCCAAAGGCAGCCTAGCAGGGACAGGAAGCTGGGGCGGGAGAAGCAGGCAGGCTCTGTGACCTGGGGGTTGTCCCTTTTCTCCGGGGAGGCGGGGGGAGAATGGATCACGGTCTGCGCCCCCCTCTTCCGTCCCCAGTCTCCGGATACCGGTCCTCGTCTCTCCGTGCCGCGCGCTGCCTCCTCTCCCCGGTGCTAGCAGCGGCCGCTGGCATTTGGAATTCTGCCCACAAAAGGGGGCCTGGAGGAGGAGGAGAGGAGGGATGGAGGCCGGCGGCGAGAAACGGCATCCGGAGTCCAAAACATCATGGGAAAAAGAATCGAGCGGCGGAGCTCTGAACGCTGTGCCGCTGCGCCCGACCGCAGTGCATCAGCGTGGCCGCCCTGACATCCCCCAGGATGGTTAACATGGGGCATTATGCGCTGGTTAACAGGCTCCGAGCTGCTCAGCGACTTGTTTTAAGCATTTTCTCCCTCGCTCTCGCTTTTAATCTTGTCTCTAGTGGCGTGTGTAGGGGGGAGGACTTTATTTCCATTGGCTAAGCTCTCCCTTCCCACCCACATCTCTTCCACATCACCTTGGTGTCTCCCTAAATAAAACCAGCCCTCCTTATCGCCTGGAAAAAATCAGGAGCTAGAGTTTGAATGGGTTTTATATAAACACTCACCCCTGTCAGCGTGCGGCTGGGCTCTCAGGATAAACTCACAGCGTCTGGCCCGATGCTTGCCTTGCGTTCTCTCCCCTGAACGTCAAGGTTTAAGCAGAGCCCGAGGACTGGGAACTCTTCTCTGAAATTCGACCAACCTGAAGCCAGTTGCGGAACTGCACAGGGTCCCGATGGACCTCAAGGAGAGCCCCAGCGAGGGCAGCCTGCAACCTTCTAGCATCCAGATCTTCGCCAACACCTCCACCCTCCATGGCATCCGCCACATCTTCGTGTATGGGCCGCTGACCATCCGGCGTGTGCTTTGGGCAGTGGCCTTCGTGGGCTCCCTGGGCCTGCTGCTGGTGGAGAGCTCTGAGAGGGTGTCCTACTACTTCTCCTACCAGCACGTCACTAAGGTGGATGAAGTGGTGGCTCAAAGCCTGGTCTTCCCAGCTGTGACCCTCTGCAACCTCAATGGCTTCCGGTTCTCCAGGCTCACCACCAACGACCTGTACCATGCGGGGGAGCTGCTGGCCCTGCTGGATGTCAACTTGCAGATCCCGGACCCCCATCTGGCTGACCCCTCTGTGCTGGAAGCCCTGCGGCAGAAGGCCAACTTCAAGCACTACAAACCCAAGCAGTTCAGCATGCTGGAGTTCCTGCACCGTGTGGGCCATGACCTGAAGGATATGATGCTCTACTGCAAGTTCAAAGGGCAGGAGTGCGGCCACCAAGACTTCACCACAGTGAGTACTTGGTTTTCAGCTCACTCTGGTCCTCTGGAGAAGTGGTGCGCTGGTGGTCTCCTGCTTGGTTTGGGGTCTCCTTGTGCTTTGGGACAGGAGAGAGAGCAGTGCCTCACCCGAAGGCCACGAGGGTAGTTGGTCAGAGTTGTGGGAGCCAGTTGCAGGGAAGACTACCGGCCAGGATAGAGCACTGCTGTCAGTTCAAATATGGAGGGTGAGTGGAGGGCTTGCGGTGGGGGATCACTTCCCCAGACGTGCTGAGTTGGCTTCCTCCCAGTCAGAGGGTGGAGGCCTGAGCTGTCCGTTGTCCGGTGTGCTTGGGGTCCGAGCTGTGTGATTGGAACAGCTTGTCATTGACGAGGTGGCATTCTGTGTGTGTGTGTGTGTGTGTGTCTGCTCGGAAGTGGCATCAGGCACTGCATCCTGTGGGCTGGGCTGGAGCTAAAGCCGTCAGAGAAGGGGGTGTGGGGCCCAGGCAGTCTGCCTGGCTCCAGTGGCTTTGGGAGCTTGCTGGAGCAGGTGATGCTGCAGAGGTGTGGAAGTCTCCTTGTTTCCTTTCCTTGTGTGAATTCTGAGCTCCATGTGGGGAGAGGAGAGGCCGGGGACCCCAGGGCTCCATCTGATCTGTTGGCAGGTTGAAGCAAAGAGATGTTCAGAGTGCTTGGGCAGAGAGGAGGGTCTAGGCGGAGGCACGTGTGCAAGGCGGTCAGGGAGATGCCTGTGAGGGTGAACCGGTCCCGGCTGCCTTGTCTGGGAGCTTTGGCTTGAAACTCAAAGGCTCGGTTTTCTCTATGTATAATCGCTTAACGAGGTGGATGCAGGAGGAGGGGTGCAGGGAGGGGGCGAACAGCTGTGGGAATGGAAAGCCTGGAGGAGGAGTGTGGAGCTGAGTAAAGAGGAAAAGCGGAGGGGGATGTGGCTTACGTTCAGGATGGGGCTTACTGGAGGGGCAGAGAGGAAAAGATGAGAGGACAGCTATTGCTACCAGGGTTCTCTCCTCAGTTAGTGGGCTGCTAGGTGTAACTTGGCATAACAGGTCAGACAGCAGCTGCTGACTACTCTTTGCTGCCAGGCAAGTCTGGGCATCAAGGGCCCTGGGACCCTTCTGAAGTCCAGCGTGGCTGCTTCCCCCATAGCTGCCTTAGCGAGGATTGAGAGCTTTTGAGTCTCAGAACATTGAACCAAAATGCAACTGCAAGTTGGGAACAGCAGGTGTAGCAGCTGGAAAGGGCTGACCTGTGACACCAGCACTTGTCTAGGGTCCTCTGCCTAATGAAGACATTTCTTACCTTTCCTGTGCTGCATCCATTCCCCACCCCCTCTTGAATTCACCAGCCTCTTGCTCTGAGGTTCTTTTAATGCCATAACCAGTCTCTGCCTGCAGCCTCTGTGACTGCTGTTGGCTATCTCTGATTCTAAAAAAGCCCAGCGCGCCGGGGGCATTGCCTCTCACAGTCTGTGTGCTAGAACTCTGTTTCTTGGAGGAGCTGTTTTGTATTATCCCTTTTAAGCCTTGTGAGGAAGAGCACAGCAAAATCGGCAGTGGTGTATGCTAATGAGGAAGCCAGTCTGAGCTGGGGGAAGGGACCAGTAATATTGGAAGCCCTTCTAAATGGAGCCAACAGGATCCTAAAACATGTCATGCACAAATGATGTCTTAGGTGGCTTGAGGAGAGATAGAGAAAATGCCTTATCCTTGGAGGCTGAAGCCATCACTACATTCCACCCCGTTCTTTCTAGCGCCTGGCAACGCTCAGCTTCACCACTGCACCGTGCAGCTTGGAAATGCACTCAGCTGTTCCTCTGTCTGCCTGAACACACATGGAACACACAGACGACACAGAGGGTGACACAGAGAGAAACTGTAATAAGTAGCAGACTCTGGGTTGAGTTCTCTAGCTTCCTCCTGATTGCATGTCCAACTGGTGGCTTCTTCTGAATCCATGTCTAAGTTCCATTTAGAAGTAAATGTTTTATGACCCCAGGCTACTGTTTTATACTTGGACCATCATTTGACTTGCTGGGGTCCCAAGAAGCCTTTAAGATCAGACCTTAAAGTTTGCCTGAGCTTTTGACCTCTTTGTAATGTTTCCCAAATAATGAAATTGCCTGTGGATAAGGTTTACTGCTCTGTCAGTGGCATGTCATTAACTGCTGTCCTCACCAAGTTCAAGACTAATCTATCTGAGTGTCCATTCCTTGGGCTGACCCTCTATGTGTGACTTTCCCCATCATTGAAAAGGGAGTGAGTCTGAGTGCTGCTGTTCAGGTTGTTCAGGGAGTGTCAGAAAAAACATCTACTCCAAGGCAGCCCAAGGAGGCTCCAGCAGGAAGGCTGGTCTCTGCCCCCAGCCTGGGCACAGTGGGCAGCAATGCTGAGCCTTTACTAGAGGGAACAAGATGCTGAGTTTGCTCAAGACCTTGCAGTGAGGAGTACTCCTCCTGACTCATCCTTGTCTCTCTGTCTTTTTTTTTGGCCTGGGATATAAGTATCCTTCTTACTGGGCTGCCATACTAGAAGAGAGCAGAAAGCCTGGACAGGTGGCTGCTGGAGAAGCCACTTGACCGGCCTTCTCTTATTCCTTGTCTCTACTGCACATCCCTCTCCAGTTGGCTTATTTATGAGGCTCTATCTGGGGTTGTACCATGCTAGGTGACTCCTTCCTCTAAGTGTGGTGGCTGACTTATTAGAGAAGTTAAGTATGGGGGAAGGGATGTCACAAGTGGATGGCTTTTCTCTGTATTTCTTTTTCTATGAAGCATACCTAGCGGCATCTCCAGTGCTAATGCTGTAGCATAAGCTTTCTTATTCCAAGTTCTTAGCTGATGTGCAATGAAGTGCGTAATACCCTTTAATTAGTGAATGAGCCATGATTCTAGCAGAGTGA